TATGCAAAGCACAGAGAGGAAGCAAGAAATAGCAAGCCAAAGGAACTAAAAAGCATGCGAGAAGAAAAGAAGAGGAAATGCAGCTAGGCCTAGTTTTACCAATGGGATATTGTCCCCCAGTCGCCCAGAGTCCCCCATTGGGGGGAGATGGGCGGGGGAGAAATTTAATAGATGATGATGATGATGATGATGATGATGATGATGATGATGATTTCTGGCACCCATCATGGCTTTGGTCAATGAAGGCCTTCCCATCATGCTTTTTAGTAAGATGGAAACCATGAGTACTAAGAACTACCTTTATTGTAAGGTTACTGTAACAGGATCTTGCACATCTGGAAGGGCTTCCCCCCTCCCCTGCCTTTACTGTCCAGAGAACTAGGGAGGGTCCCTTCTGAGACGCTTTCTCCACCCCCATTCCTTCTGTGGGCTGAGATGTCTCTCGTCTGACCGTCGCCTTAGCTGCGACTGTTCCTCCTGTCTTCCAAAGTTATTCTCACAGCCCATTACAACTAGGTTACTAGTCTTAGTTGTACCCATGCCACAGGTGGCATTCCCTGCTCATGGCAAGATCAGTGCCCATCTGTTTTGGCCAGGATGCTACAAGTGCAACCAAAGCCCACTTTCACCCCAAGCATCCTCACGTTGCGCTACGCAAGCTAGGATCTCTAATGTAGTACAGAACGTACAAGTCAGCCTAGTGTTGCTGGCAGGAGGGGCATGTAGTAGAGTGACCCCCACTCAGGACTCTCGTTGAACCTAACTGCAAACATTACAGAATGTCTCCCGAGGACACTCACCCAGCTAAACATTGCCCTTGAAATGTCTTGCCACTTAGAGAAGCGGGAGGTGCAGAACGACCATTTCTGCTTCCGAACGTGCATATATGTTAGCCTTGCAAGGTAGTCCAGACAAGAAGCACAACCTGGAGTACTAGCTCTCTCTTTATCGTAAGGTTACATCAGCAGAATCTTGCAAGACTGAAAGTATCTCTCCCCTCCTTTCCTTGTACTCTCCGGAGAACTCGGGAGGGTCTCTTCTGAAATGCTTCCCACGCCCTCCCTCCTTTTGTGGGCTGAGACCCCTTTTGCACGCTGGTGGTCCAGCCTGCAACTCTCCCTCCTGTCTCCCAAGGTCATTCCCACAGGCCGTTACAATACAGTAACCAAAGCTGTCCATCAGCCCCGCTTAAAACAGCCCCCCTTTAAACTCAGTGTCCTGCTAGGGTGCCCCACCTGCCTGGTCCAGGGGTCACGAGAGCTTACACATCTCGCTTCTGCCTCCGCGTGCTTTAGGCTGACGGCTTTCGTGGTGAAGGTTTTGTCCCTGAGTCAGAAATACCAGGCGGTGGATAGTGCCGGGATCCGGGGGTCGGTGCAGTGGCTTCTGGGGAAGCAAGAGAGTGATGGCTCTTTCGTCGACTCCAACCCCGTCTATCACCGGGATATGCAGGTGAGGTCTCGAGCCTCCGGTTCGGCTCACCCTCCATTTCCTGTTGCCTGCATGTAGGGGTGGCCCTTGTGCTTCAACATTCATCATGATTTTCTGGTTCTCATCACTGAACTTTTGTTTTTCCTTTTTCCCCCTTCTCCCCAGGGCGGTGTTGGTGGCCTGCGTGGGGGCCCCGCATTGACAGCCTTTGTCACCATCGCGCTGAAGGAGGCTTTGCCTTTGTATGAAGCCGAGGAAGATGACGAAGAGGCAGAAAGGCAGAAGCAGGAGCAACTGAGCAATCTGGTATGAGGCCAAAACATTAATATAGAGCCTGTGGAATCCAGGACTCTGAAAAATCTCTGCTTTTTACCTTTTCTTTAAAAAAAAAAAAGGAAGTTACTAGTCCTCATGAGTGTTCCAGTCAGTGGGCAGTTTGCATTTGCTGCTAAAGCCTGATTAGAATTGTTTAATTTATGTGGGAGAGCTTGGCATAGTCAAATGACTAAGAACGTTAGAGGTCCCTGGTTTAAATCTTATTAAATAAAAAATCTTTTTCCCACCCATCTGCAACGTTTGGATAAGAAGAACTACAAATTGGTACTAAGAGACTCAGCTTTTGAGTAAAGTTCATTTCTCAGATTCTTTGGTTGGGTAACTCCAATCCTTTTTATATGCACATTGGAAGAAACCTGCCCCATGTTACCATTTCAACTATTGATCCCTTTTATTGATTTTTTTTAATGGTTATGGTTTTTTAAATCAGCCAGCTAGAAAACTCACATCTCTTTCCACATTTGCTAAGCTTATCTGTGGAACTTTCCATGATATATACGCTGAGCTTTTTTAAAATATCCATTTCCCTGATAATGCTTTTTTTTTTTTTGGTACAACAAGAAATTGCTTGCTTGCTTGTTTAAACCATAAATTTCCAGAAGTTGCATCCCAAAGTTGTACACCAAGCTTCTCCCAATACATGCATTATTCTTTTTCTTTTTCTGGTGAGGGGTTTTTGCCAAAGAATGAAGAACCCCAGCACACTTCGCTTCACACTTCCAGCTGTGTTGTAGCACAATCCGTGTTAGCGGATTGTGCCAGTTCACTCTCACAAGAGCTTCACCGCCCACACACCCTTTTTCCCATTTCTGTGGGTGAACTCCCTTTCTCTACAGCAGTGTTTCTCAACCTTGGCAACTGGAAGATGTGTGGACTTCAACTCCCAGAATTCCCCAGCCAGCCATGCTGGCTGGGGAATTCTGGGAGTTGGAGTCCATTCATCTTCCAGTTGTCAAGGTTGAGAAACACCGTTCTACCGAATAGCAGCAAGAAATCGTGTGTCATAATAAAGCCTGGGATGAGCTGAAGGCCGCCAGACATGACTTGGAGGACCCTGACCAGCTCCAATATAATTTCCTTCTCCCCCAGAGAAACAGCTTGGATCGTGCGACAACGTATCTTGCCAGGGCCCTGAACGATCAGTCTCTGGGGCCGTACCCTGTGGCCATCAGCAGCTACGCCCTGGCGCTGGCTTCAGAGGACCAGTCGGCCATTTCTGTTGCTGGCAGCCGCCTAAAGGAGCTTTCCATGGAAGATAACAGTATTCTCTCTCTCTCTTCATCGTCATGAAATGTTGTTTAAAAATGTCTGTTCAGGGTATTTTTCCTTTTTTTAAACGGCACGGCTTTAACCATGCCCCAGGAAAGGGACGATCTGCTGTCCCAGGAAAATGAGAGTCGGGTGGGTTGTGTTAGGGTGTCATGAGCAAAGCATCTTGGGAGCCCCCCCGTGGAGCTCAGCCCTCCTTCCGACCTTGGTCCTCTCAGTTTCCCCCTCCTGGTGCGAGATTCCTTTCTTCCTCCTTTCTCTCTGCATCTCTCTTTTTCTCTCCCACCCCGCTCAGCCCAACCAACCCCTTTGCCCCGGCTGTGGCACTTCTGCCCATTCAATCCCCACCCACCCCAAACCCAAAGCACTGAATTTGGGGCCTCTCCAGACCCAAGGGCTCAGCGGGTGGCCCTAACAGCTGAGCCCCAATTAAGAGATGCATTCATTTATTTAAGATCAATATCTCACCTTTACTTTGTAGAACTCAAAGTCATGTAGGTAATGCGCCCATCTCCTATTTTTCCCCCTGTCAGGTGGGCTGGTCTGAGAGAGGGACTGGCCCAAAGTCACCCAGCCGACTTTCATGACAAAAGAAGGACGAGAACTCAGGGTCACCTGCTTTCTAGGCCAGCACCTTCACCACTGCTCCAGACTGGCTCTCCCTTTTCCTTACATGCATTTCACGGTAGCCCAATGAACCCTTACAAACTGCAAAAGCCAGATGGACGGGGGGATTTGGAGCACAGAGTGGGCTTCTAGAGTGGGACAAAGTGTGCTTATGCCTCTTCCTTCCTCTCTCTGTCTCCATTTTCCATAGTCCCCCCAATGCCCCTTTGAGAACCGCCAATGTTTAGGAGGCACCTGCTTCTCTGCAGGCTGGGAAGGGGGGGTCAATTGGCAGAATAGGGGAAGCTGTGAGCTGGAACCTGCTCCAGACCCTCGAACTGTTGCCAGATCCCAGTGCCCCCCAGATTCAGCCAGCATGGTCAAGAGTCAGGGATGATGGGAGATATAACCCTCCCATGTTTATTGGTGCCATAAGAATTAATCTCCCCAATTTCTGCAGGGACCATGAGGCAGATCGGACACCCCAGTATGACTGGTTATGTGCCACCATTCAGTGTTGACTATTGACAATCACATAGACCAGTGTTGTCCAAACTTGGCCACCTTAAGATGAGTGGACTTCAACTCCCAGAATTCCCTAGCCAGCATGGCTGGCTGGGGAAT